GCGCAAAAATAAGAGCAAGAATCTCAAATGCAAAAAAAAGGGTAAGAAAAGTACTCGCTACAATTTAAAACTCTTGAAAGAGCCCCGCGCACTAGAAAGGTATCAAAATTACCTTGAACATGAAAGCAAAACAGATGAGAATTTAACAGCTAGCGAGCAATGGGATATATGTGGAAGAACAATAAAGGAAGCGGCAAACAACGTCCTAGGACCAGAAGAATCCACTCTACGCAACAGTTGGTTCGACGATGAATGTGAAGATATCACTAAAAGAAAAAATTATGCATATAAACTTATGCAACAAAGAAGAACACGGGATAAGGAGCAAATGTACAAAGATCTTAGGAAGGAGGAAAAACGCATACATCGAAGGAAAAAGCGGACCTTCGAAAACCAGATTATGCAAGAGCTTCAATCATTAAAGGGGCAAAATGAAACTAGAAAGTTCTATAATATCCTAAATAAGACAAGAAAAGAATTTAAACCACGGCTGACGATGTGTAGAGACAAAAATGGACATATAGTCAGTACCGCTGACGCAGTACAAAGCAGATGGGTTGAGCACTTCAAAGAACTACTTGGTACCGAAGTGGAAAATGATGCGTCACCCCAAAGACCAAGAAATAAAACTCACGTAGAACCTCCTTCAACATTTGAAGTGAAAGACGCAATCACACGACTCAAAAATAGCATGTCCCCAGGAGTGGATTGTATCCCCGCAGAGCTCATCAAACATGGAGGTAACAGCATTATGCACCAAATTCACAACATAATAGTCAAAGTCTGGGAAGAAGAACAAATGCCAGAGGAATGGTGCACTGGAATCATATGTCCACTACACAAAAAGGGAGATTTGTTGGAATGTAAAAATTATAGGGGTATAACTCTTCTGAATACAATGTACAAAATATTCTCCAATACCCTGTACAGCCGTTTAAGTACGTACGTGGAAGAAATCCTTGGTGAGTATCAAAGCGGTTTTAGGCCAGGTAGGTCAACAATCGACCAGATTTTTGTGCTACGTCAAATCTTAGAAAAAACCAATGAATTTAATATTGACACGTTCCATCTCTTTGTGGACTTTAAGTCAGCGTATGATAGCGTCCTAAGAGGTAAATTATACGAAGCCATGAATGAACTTAACATTCCCATAAATTAATAAGGCTCGTAAAAACAACTATGAGTAAAGTGATCTGCAGAGTGCAAATACAAGGCGATATGTCACAAGCGTTTGAAACATATGCATGAAACATATGCGGCAGGGAGACGCGCTGGCGTGCCTTCTCTTTAATATAGCGTTAGAAAAGACTATAAGAGATGCCGAGTTACACAATAGGGGAACAATCTTTAATAAATCAACGCAGATTATGGCTTACGCTGACGATCTGGATTTGATTGCACGTACTACACGAGGACTTAAAGAGATAACTTCCGCCTTCTTGACAGCCGCACAAAATATGGGCCTTAAAATAAACGAGAAAAAAACCAAAATGTTAGCATCTATTCCAAATAACAGAGATAGAGCTAGAAACGCCGAACAAAACTTCAGTATAGACCAATATAATTTTGAGGTAGTAAATAAGTTTACATATTTGGGTTCTCTCATAACAAACGATAATGACACATCTGAAGAAGTTAAACGGAGGGTACTGCTAGCAAACAAATGTTATTTTGGACTAAGCAAGCGGCTAAAAAACAGAAATTTAAGCCAGAAAACCAAACTAATAATATATCGAACACTCATCCTACCAGTGATGACATATGGGTCAGAAACATGGACCATCTCCAAAACAGACGCAAATCTTCTGCTCGTCTTCGAAAGGAAGATACTAAGAAGAATAATGGGCGCATTCTGTGAGAATGGTATTTGGAGAAGGCGATATAATTTCGAATTGTACGAGAAGTATAAAAAAATAGTAAATGGTAGAAATGTAATATCCTTCATAAAAATAGGTAGACTTAGATGGGCTGGACATGTGTCAAGAGCAAATGAAAATTACCCACCCAGACGAACTCTATTATCGGTCCCAGTGGGAAATAGGAGTAGAGGCAGATCACGACTGAGATGGAGGGACGGTGTGGACGAGGACGCAAGGAAGATCGGCGCGGCAAATTTTCAACGGTTGGCGATGAACAGAAACGACTGGCGAAATAGACTGGGGAAGGTCAAGGCTCAACTAGAGCTGTAGCACCACTGATGATGATTATTTAAAAATGCACGGTCATGAAATAACAAACTATAAATAAATATATAAGTATATTATAGCCTGGAGATTTGTGCCGAAACGACTAATCATTTTTTGTATTTTAATCTAATAATAAATTATTTATATTACCTATTTGTATTTTTTTGCCTACCACTAGATATGATAACAATGCTGCAAATTCCAGGAAAAGCATAATAAGTAAGTTCCTATATATTTAGTATTTTTGCTTTTGAACTTTTTCTACTGTTTTTTTTTTTTTGGGTTTTTGTGCAAAATAAACTGTTATCTCCATTTAAAACACACAATATTATCAATACAATCAATTCTATTTTTTGTCATCAGGCTATTAATTTAAAAAAAATTGATATAATTACTAATATAAGAACCACTTAACATCGCTATACCCACGAAAATCCCAAAATATATTGCAAAACCTAAGTTTTTGAATCTTTTATTAGCATTAAAGCTTATGGCAATTTTAAAAGTGTCGTATGAGTGACGTATTCTTCTTCTTCTTCAAGTGCCGTCTTCGTTCCGAAGTTTGGCTATCATCAAAGCTATGCGTATTTTTGATGCTGCAGATCTAAACAGTTGGTAATTGGTGCAATTGTACCATTCTCTCAAGTTTTTCAACCATGAATGCCTTCTTCTTCCTATAGATCTCTTTCCCATTATCTTTCAATGTATAATTAATTGCAGCAACTGGTATTTATCTCCCCTCATAACATGTCCCAAATATTGTAGTTTGCGCTTTTTAACAGTAAGTATCAGCTCTTTCTCTTTCCGCACTCTCCGCAAAACCTCCACATTTGTTACTTTCTCTGTCCAGGGTATTTTTAATATTCTACGATACATCCACAACTCAACTGCTTCTATCTTTTTGGTATCGATCTTTTTCAATGTCCATGTTTCCATCCCGTAGAGGAGAACTGACATAACGTAACATCTCAAAAGGCGAATTTTAAGTTTTAGACTTAGATCTCTTCCCCAGAACACCTTTTTCAATTTAGTAAATGTGGCTCTAGCTTTCTCTATTCTGGTTCTGATTTCTTCAGAGCAGTCATTATTTTCGTTGATAACAATTCCCAGGTAATTATATCTTCTTACACGTTCGATTCTTTGATCATGCACGGTTATGTCAGGGAAGTTTTGTGGTGATTTAGATATTATCATTATTTTTGTTTTGCTTATGTTAAGTGATAATCCGTGTTCTTCACTGCATTCTACTATTTTGTTAATTAGTATTTGAAGATCTTCCCAAGTTTCTGCGATTAGTACCGTGTCATCGGCATATCTCAAGTTGTTTATTCGAATGCCATTTATCTTAATACCTATATTTTGATCCGAAAGTGCTGTGTTTATAATGTCTTCGGAGTATAGATTGAATAAGGTCGGTGAGAGTATACAACCCTGTCTTACGCCTTTCTTGATCTCGATTTCCTCCGTTGTCTCTTGCTCTATTTAAAAAGCGAGCATTTGATTTGTCTATAGTTACAAGACAACCTACTTAATACCTACTAACCTTGGCCTACAACGTCTTCAATGGACAACCCATGTATTAATGATGGACGAAAATAGGCTTCCAAGAAAACTGTTGAATGCATGAATGCAGGGTAAGAGACTTATTGGAATACCGAGAAAGCGATGGGAGGATGAACGAGGGCGCCAAAATCTTTCTGGCAGTCGTTCGTAAAGGAGAATGGCTAAAGAGCGTAATGGATGAAGAGCTTTGATGAGGGAGACCAGGGCTCGGATTGGTCTGTAGAGCCATAGAATGGATAGATGGATGGAGCCTATTTATTATAAAAATAAAATAAGCTATTTTCTTTATTTACTTCTGATGTAGAAAATTATATTATTATGTGCACCAAATTTTTATATCTTGAATTTTTTAAAAAATGTTTGGGATAGTAGTCCAACATTTATAACCATACACTAATCATTTTAGTTACAGTTACGGTTTATTTCCAAGACATATAAAAAATTCAGTGTACACAATGACTCAACAAAAATAAATGTTCTTTTTCAATGTATGTTGTATTTTATATGTTGTATGTTTTAATACTCTGTATTTTTAAAATAATTGATTTTTAGTACTGGTGTAATTCTAATTTTTTACATTTTTGTTGTCTATTTGAAAAATTTCAAAGTAAACGTTCAACTCATGGCCCACTGTAAACAAATGGATGATGGCGTGTGTTAAGTTGGTCCTATCGTGGACAAAACTATGTTTCGTTACCTATTTTTAAAACTTACTTCTGTCTGACACACGAAAGTATGTATACTTTTGGTACTGTACCACTACCATAATAACACAATATAATGCTGAATTATTAAAGACCAGAGAGGCTGTGTATAAAAATTTCGGTTTTGCACAAATTGTAGTGCTGGAACAATAATTAGTATTAAAAGGTATCTTAGAGAAATAAGACTGTCATTAAGTTTTGCTAGATGATTTCGTTTGAATGAGAAATGCTGAAGAATAGGATGACAAACTTGTGATTAATACATATTATTAATTTTATATATTTTTAAGTCTTTTAAAAAACCTAGTATTATATTTAATGCTATATTTCTATTCGATTTTTGTCCATACCCTACTTACCATTAGCTGTATCCATTACTCAAGAATATTGACAAAACAAATCGAAGAAAAAGTAACTTGACAACTTAAGAAAATATAAAACAGCAGGAGCTAATTCAACATATATTTCATTCCCCAAAATTAGATGAAAAAAAAATACTAAAATACCATTTTAGCTTTAATTTGCTTTTAATCGAGGTTAAACTTACCTGTCGCTTGTAAATTTTCCAAAATTATAATAGCATCATCGTCAATAACATCACTATTTTTCAACAAATTCTTTCTGGAAGCATAGCATTTGGGAAAGCAGTCAATAATATTGGATATACCAAGATCTTTTTGAAAATTTTGTAAAGTTGGCACTATTGTATCATAAAACGCCATTTCATTGGTGTATGTGGTATGTACATAAAAAATTCCCCTAAACAATTCTGTTTCTGGTAGAGTTTTACCTACCAGATGCCAAACATCTTCTTTACCCTCTTCATTTTCAATGGTTACGTCGAGTTTCAGCATCAAGCTTCCATAGTTTTCACCTCTAGCTAAGAGATTCGATATTTTTGATTCTTTAATGGTTCTATTTGAACCTAATAGAGAACTAAGAACACCGGAGAGATCTTTAATTTGCATCGACATTTTACTGGTAACCGTTGAAGTAAATTTAACGTTTGTTTACGAATTTCTGCTTATATATTCATGTTATCTTCTATAGATTCTTATCACGTTATTGTGTTATTGTGTTTACAACAAATTGTAAAGATACAGGTAAAATTGTTAACAAAACAAATAAAATACACTGGCTAGTCATTTATATGTATATATATATATATATATATATATATATATATATATATATATATATATATATATATATATATATATATATATATATATATATATATATATATTATTTATATATATATATATATATATATATATATATATATAATATATATATATATATATATATATATATAATTTATTGTATTGGAGTATCAGGTATGCGGTCTATTATTAAAAAAAAACTCTTTTTTCTTTTATTACTCTATATTTCGCTGATTTTTTGTCAGCTTCTTCAGGAGATAACTAAAATATGGTTAAAATTTTATACATATCAGTTGATAATAAACAATGAATTTACTTACAGATTAAGAGTTAAAATATTTAAAAATGTTGAACATAATATATTCAAAACAGTACTGACAATATAGTTAATATAGTTAATAAAGCACCTAGTCACTAGTAATTAAATATAACAAAAAAAATATAATAAATAGAAAACAAAAACAACCAAGAAACAATAAAAACACAATAAAATTACACATTAAAAATATACAGGGTGATTTAAAATATAATTGTAATAAGAAATATTATCTGAACATACTAAGAATATTACAGTAGATATTGCTCAACTGTCCCGTGTCTGCCTTATAATTAACTGCATATTTTTCTTTATTAATGTGACACATTTCTAAAAACAATCTTTTTTTGTAATTGTTCTCTTATTGAAGAACCCTGACATCTGAGTAGTCAAATTGATGCCCCGTTTTTAAGAAATGGTCAACTGCTGCACATGTATTCTTCTTTTTTGTGCAGTCACTTTTGTGTTATGTGACCCGTTGTTTTAGCCATTGAGAAGTTTGGCCAAAATAACAGCTCTGGCAATCCAAACAAGGCAGTTTGTAGATGATATGAGTTTTATTTACAGTTGTGTCTTATCTTTTACTTTAGAAAACAATTGTCGGTTTTCTAATACATTATATTGGACAATTTGTATGTTAGTAAATTGTTTAAATAAACTGTCCAATATAATGTATTGTCCAATATAATGTATACACACCTAGGTCACTAGTAATTAAATATAAAAACAGAGCAAACAAAAACAACCAAGAAAAATTAAAACACAATACAATTACACATTAAAAATATACAGGGTGATTTAAAATATAATTGTAAACAGAAAAATTATTTGGATATACTAAGAATATTACAGTAGATATTGCTCAACTGTCCCGTGTCTGCCTTGTAATTTACTGCATAGTTTTCTCTATTTATATGACACATTTTCAAAAACAAACTTTTTGGGTAATTATTTTCTTTCTGAAGAACCCTGACATTTGAATAGTCCAATTTATGGCCAGTTTTTAAGTGATGGTCAACTACCGCACATGTATTCTTCTATTTTGTGCAGTCACTTTTGTGTTGTGTGACCCTTTGTTTTAGCCATTGAAAAGTTTGGCCAACTAGTCACAAAAGGTGTTAACTGATTTATTAATGGTAGTTTTTTTATATTGCATTGTTTGTACTGCTCCGATGTCAGTAGGACCGTCAAAAATGTCAGAGTTAAATATCAATTTTTTAAGGATATCTTTTGGGTATCCATTATTTTGAAAGATGTTAAACAGCAAATTTAAGTTTCTGTTTATAAGTTTATCATCACTAATATGCCTTACCCTATTCTTCATTGCAATGACTGTATTAAACTTTTGATAAGTAGGATGATGTGAAAAAAGTTTGAATATCTTCCCGAGTGTGTTGGCATTTGATAACAATCTATCAATATTTTGTTTTATTCTGATCTTATTATTTTGGTGTCCAGAAATGATATCGAACAATCATTTTCAATCTCTAAAGTAAATTGGATATGTTTGTTAAAGTTATTAAAAATGTTTAAGGTATTTTGAATTTGTGAACTAGGAACAGAACATATAAGGTCGTCTACAATTTTTTTAATGAAGGGTAAAGGGAAAGGTAATTGTGGAATAACGATATCCAGCAAATGGTCCAAAATGATGGTTGCTATTATAGGGTTGGGTGGACTACCCATAGGTGCTCCAAATATTTATCGATAGAATTTATCATTAAAGCTAAAATAGGTGTTCTCAAAAACATAGTTCAGAAGTGTTAAAAAACTATCTTTGGGAATTGTTGTATAATTTTGGATCAGATTCCATTTTGACTGTATTGTATTACTGACCAGATCTATTGGTATGTTAGTAAATAACGATATGACATCTAACGAAATTAAAACATAGGCTTTCGCTAAAATCAACTCTCTGACATCATTAACAAATGAAAATGTATCATTTGCATTATAGTTGGTCACTTTGTCAAAAGCATCTTTAAGAATGTTAGCAAGAAATTTGGATAAGTCATAAGTTACTGAATTTATAGAGCTTACAATAGGTCTAAGTTACACGAGATACACACCACATAAAGAACTTCTTAAAGAGGCACGAGAAGATACCTAAACGGGACGTAAATACTCCATAGAAAAAAAAGGCACTCGACATTACAAATCATCAATAAAGAAACATACATAAATATATGACCATTTTTGCGAAAATATTTTGATGCCTCTTTAGACACCACTAATATAACCACTTTTATGCGAGTGATAGTTCCATAAAGAAAATAACAAATCTTGCAGAAACTTTGTCGTAAAAACTTATTGTGGTTAGTTGCATTGTGAAGAACTTCCGTATGAGTTTACACCACGTATACTCAGACAAGCGTTAAATAATACTATGATATTTTTTTTTATTTTCTGTCATAATTATATGTTAAGCATAACTTCTCGATCGCATTAACTTTCCCTTTTCGTCGTATTATAGGAAGTAGCTCTAGATAATCTAAATCTCTATTTACAGGATTATTCTAATCATCAGAATTTATACTAGAGTTTATACTAGAAATTACCTTTTATTGTAAGATGATACAGTTCCCTCTAAAGACAAGTAAAGTGGATTATTAAAATAAGCTCTTATTTTTTTAGATACAATTACAGTTAGTCTATAATTCCTAATAAAACTTTTAAGTATTTATGCTAGCTTACCAGTAATCTAATGTATTGTTTAGTAGAAAATTATGAATTGATTGGCTTAGTCCCTCAGCAATGTATTTTCTTATTTTTTTACGAAAAATATTTTTAGATACATTATCAAATGAGATGCGTCATTTTTGCTTAACACAAAGCAAACATTGTATTGCCGCATTTCCTCGGTTTAGTAGGCATGTGTTACTTGTGTAGGTTACCGCTCTGTGCTTATTTTATAAGAGTATTTAAGACCGTAACTACCATTAGGAGATATAGTTATCACCAAACATACATAAAAAAATATTTTTAGGATGACTTAAAGTTCGCACGCGCCCAATCAAGCACAAACACATAAATGTCTAGCGAGAAGTTGATATAAATCCCTTTCTGGATCGCCCAAAAGAGACATGACTCAAATTTGCAAAAACATTAGTTAACTTATTTTTCTTACTCTCTGGTAAGTAATAATATTCTCCAAGATTATTAAAACAAGTATTACGTTTGTAATAATTAAAACAATAGCCAAATTCAACAAAATTTACTGTTATTTAAAATATGGTTACTCTAGTTATCAGGTGATATATAAAAAATTATATTTAAATAATATGCAATGATATATAGAATCTTGACAACACAAGATTAAAGCTATTATATAGAATGAACTTTAATTAAATGAAAGGTAGAAAGCACAGCAGCTATCAAAGGCACAGTTAAATTATTAAATCTTGCCAAAGTACTTTCGCATATCCATTAACACTACAGGATACAAGGACAAACAGTTTAAAATAAAACAGATAGAACCATATCCAACAAGCTAGTGGATGTATTAAATGTAATAATAAAAGCTGCACTTAAGACAGTGGACATAATGTATAGCTGCGACAATTAATACATAAATCTGGATTTGTACTCCCAGAAATCAACATAAGAATGAAACTGGCTTGGGCATCTGTTGGTAAAAATGCAGTTATATTCAAATTACTACGCGAAGGCATTTGACCGTTGTCCGCACCAGAAGATAGTCACCGCCCTACAAAGAGTAGGATTGGATGAGAAGGACATTCGGATCATCGTGAATTTATAGTGGAACTAGCGTGTTCAAGTCAAGGTCGAAGAACAGCTGACCCACCAAGTGAAGATCATGCGAGGAGTAAGGCAAGGATGTGTGCTATCCCCGACTCTTTTCAATATATACTCGGACGAGTTTCGCAGAGCAGTCAACAAAACCATGATAGCCTTGATGATCGCCAACATCCGGACCGGATAAGGCACTGAAAAAGAAGATATTCAAATTCAGATTGCCACTCTACCTAAAGAAAAAAGCAGTCGATCAGTATATACCACCAAGAGTGATTGAAAAAATATGGAATTAATCAGACAGAAAACCAAGAAAACCAATGACACTGATGTAATCCACAGAATTAAATCTTTCAAATGGTAGTAAGCGGCACATTTAGCAATAAAAACTGACAAAAGTTGGTCCACTAGAATTACACTGTGGCATCCAAGCGAAGAAGACCAGAGAGATATAGACTCCTACTGAAACACGATAAAGGAAGATATCGAGTCAGCAGCACAAGATGAAATAGGAACAGAAACTTGTACCCGAAAAAATTACCGGTTTGGTGATTAATGCAAAGACGCAACACAGAAATAAAATGAAGCTTATGCAAAAATGCTTACCCGACGAACAAGTGTAGTATGTAGATAATTACCAGACAAAGAGAAGAGAAGAAATGAAAATACACAGAATGAAGAAACGAAACCACTTAAAAGGAACTTCAATATATAGAAAACCTCAAAAGAATTCAAGGCAAACACAAATCAATGTAGAAGTTTGAATGGC